TTTGGTAGGGAGATAGAAGAAATTTTCTCCTCACCTCCTTGCTTAACGGCAAGCTTTTTACAAACAAGGTGAGTAGCATGCATTGTATGTGTAGCAGTGCGGTCGGATTCTCAGGAGAAAATTCCAAGTCCTGATTCACTAGTGCAGGGATCCCCAAACTCTGTGCCTACTACCTCGCTGTGGCCTTTTCGCAACCAGGCCTTGTGAGTGGTGGGCTGGTGGGCATGCAGGCATACAGCTCAACTCATGCAAGTGACAGTCCGGCAGGCATATGTGCGTGCATCTCATCTTGTGCAAGTCGAGCTGTGTGTATGTGCCCACCACGGCCCACTACGGGTTCCCCTCTCTCCTCCCCCAGCCAGGCCACCAAGCCGTCAAGGTTGGGGATTGCTATACTAGTATAATCCAAGTGATTTAACAGCTGAAAAAAATTGTTTATTGCATTTATCTGCCCCCCTTTCTTCTATGTGATCAGGAGAATATTTCCAGACAGGTTGTAATTTCCCAAACACTTTTCAAGGTCATTTGGGTTGGAGTACCTAATAACTTAATTAACGAATTAACCTAATTAAGCTCTGTGACTGAATTAAAACTTCGATGTAAATCCATTCCAAATTCTTCAAATCATTATGGCTGCAAAATGTCCCATTGCCTTTAAAAATGAAGGCCCTAGGCTCTTGAGATTATCAAAGGATTGCCATATTGCTACTGTTTGCAGACCGATAACCCTGCCAGATATTTGGAAAACAAATTGCAGTCATCTTCAAACTTGTTAATCTCAAAAAACTGAAAACAAGGAGCAAAAGTCACTGCCAGGCCATGGCTATTCTGAATCTTGCAATAACAAACACCCCATCATTTCCAAACTATATAAAAGGAGTTAAAATGTATTATTTGTCCTTCCCACCCATAACCTTATTTCAGTTTTTATCTGGTTCTAAGCTTTAAGTGGGTGTAATTAAATTCCCAGTGGTTTATCTGAAGAAGATCCTTAAACCCTGATAAGTCCATTTTCGCTTTGAAAGATCTGACGCCCCAAAGCTAGGAAATATAGGTGGACGCTGTATAAAATTTCTGAATGAAAGCATTAAGAAACATGTGATTGAGCTTTGGACATTCCTCAGAAAATGGACATCCCATTTTTCCTCCTAGATCTGATGTGTCAATGGACGGTTTTGTCCCAGTGAATCTGCAAGAAGCAAGAGAAGTTTTGAAGGAACTTACTATGACAGATTGGATTGCTCGGCAGGTAAAGAAAAAATATTTTTCTTTCAATACAGGGATTATTCCTCATTGGACAGACTATTGATTGTTCTGTGATCAGATGAGAGAATCCATAGATGGACTGGTATATAATCCTGATCCCCCACACAACTTCCAGTCGTGTGAAGGTTGTCCTAACAGTAAGAGCAAAAACCAAAAACCAGAATTCTAATCTAGAACACAAGGAGAGCACTTGGCTTCCCACCCCAGTTTTAGATGCCTTCGGATAACCATTATCTCCAACTGGAATGCAACTTCTGTAAGCATTCGCTGCAGATCTCCCTGTGGAATTGGGAGCTCTGCCTCTTCATGAGTTCCAATTACACAGAAGTCCTGTCCTTTTGTGCTCCATTCCATCCATAGCCCATGTCACTCTGTAGAATGCTACAGAGTAAAAACAACAAATAATATTAAGAAGCTCATCCGCTTTCCCTACTCCAACAATGCCACAGCCCCACGAAGATTAAAAACACAGCCAAATAAAGTTATGGAAAGCCAAGCAGGAGATGACTACACGAAGCTTTATGAGTTGAAACATAAAGGAACATAAGGACATACACAAAGTAGGCTTGCTACCTGATCCATGCAACCTCAACCTTATGGGACAATAATATCTCTTGGCAGGCCCTTTTAATATCTTCTCATTTAAGACAGATTGAATGTGATGACCCAGGGTGGGATACAAAATCAACAAAGTCACAAAAACTAGTGAAGTCCCTTTAATTCCTTCAACTTTGCTTCAAAGGTCCAATTATAATTGACTGGAGAAAAAACTCCCTCACAAACAGTTGCAAAAAAGGAAGAACTTCCATTCAAACTCAAAATACATATAAATTATAAATAGAAAAAACAACACAAACCACACTGAAGCAATTAAGGAGGCAAGGCAGGATAAGGGCTTGAAGATATCTGCAGATATCGAAATACACACACTGGGAAGGACTCCAAAACTCAGATAAGAACTGAAAGACTAGAATTATTTCACACTTTGCTTCCAGCACTGGGCCATGCGCAATTTGTCCTTTTAAACAGTTTTCACAGCTGCAGCCCATGAAGGGGATCAGGACCCTTTCCTCCCCTGTAGACCATGCCATTCACATTTCTCCCTTATCCACTCATCCCTGCATGCCCTAGGATGAAAAGGGGATGGCCTGGGTCTTCCTCTGAATGCCAAGCCGCCCTGTGCCCTTCCCCAGTTTCCTCCACAACCTCCAGATCCACACTCCCACTCCCTGCTGGCTGTTCCTCCTCTCCTTCTGAGTCAGATTCTAACAGGGGCATGACATTCAGTCCTGGCAAAGTCATGTCTGATCGTGCAACCTGGTGCTACACCACAATGGGCTGCAATTCAGGAGTAGGCAGGACAACAATCGTTCCTTCTTACATATCTGCTTTTCTTCTGAAACTAGATAGATCTGTACCCAGCTATACCTACTGTTTTTAAACAGATCGATTCTTCTCTATTGAACGACCTATTTCTTGGTCTTCCACGGAGTTCTCCTCACCAAGAAGCTCTTGCTATTTTTCTTCTGGTGCCTGAGTGCTGTGTTGCTCTTGAAGCATGCAGCATACCGTTACTAGCTTCAGAGTTTGCTGAAGCTGTCACAGGTCTGAGCGAGGGATCTTCCAACATTCTAGGTGAGTTTGGGACAATTCTCCTTTTCTCTTTTCACACATACTGTGTGCCCCCCATTCATATGTTACATTCCTCAGTCTCTCAGCTCAAGAGAATTCTACATTTGCTCAACAAAAGCAATAGAGCTATAAATATAGAACGTTTCACAGAGATTATTTAATCCTAGATAGCTATTCTGTCTGTATGAACCCCTTCAGTGAAGGGAAATCTATCTCTTTATGAGGAAATCTAGTCCATTGTTTGATGGCTCCATCTGTAGAGCTTCCCTATAGATTCATTTCACTGGTTCTTATCTTGCCCTCCAGGATAACAGAACTAGTGTGTTCCCTTCTAATGTGACAAATGTTTAAATGTTGGTATTGTTTGCTTGTTTTGAAGCCATCCAACTCTGAGTGGCTTCCATTATAAAATAAGGAAAGAAAAAGAATGAAAAAAAACCCTGGATATCTGAAATGAGAAAGTCAACACCTCAAAACATTCCCCAGAAAATAAAAAAAATAAACGAGAAGAACTCAACAGTTACCCTACTCCTAGACCAGGAAACAAAGCCATGTTTTCAGTGGTTTTCAGAACCATGCTTTATAGGACAGCCCTTGAGGGCATCAAGAAAATTTCAGAAGACCTAAAATGTGACCTACAATGCTATTTAAAGCCTTAAATGGCTTAGGTGCAAGTTACTGACAAGGAATACAGTGGTGGAATATAGTGCAGAGTCACAGGAGGGAGGTGCTTTTTTTGACAAGGAGCAAAGAGACAACATAGCTTGGATTCTTTGGTAAGAAGGGTGAAGGTGAACCCCGCCTAGCAATTCACCAAGTGTATCTAGTAGTTATGTAGATCAGTGCTTTAGTCTGGCTAGATAAATGTTAGGCTGCAGAAACCAAATACTACACAAGGGATTTATTCAGTGTACAGTGTTACTTCGGTACACATCGTTAATTGGTTCCAGAAGGTGCGATGAGTACTAGAAAGGATGAGTCCTGAACAAATCATGTGATTTACCAATGACCCTTTGTTTCAGCCGGGAATAATTTTCTGTCTGTCCCTTTTCCTGTGTCAGCCACCTTCCCAGCATGGTCGACTTCCTGTCCGTTCTCCATAGCCATCCCCCTCTTCCTATCACAGCGTGTTGAGTACTAAATGAACACCAAGTACTGGACAACATTTTCACATCAAAATATGTTAAGTACCAAATTTGACAAGTTTTGAAGCAGTCAAGTACCGAGGTAACACTGTAGTTTCTTGATTATTGTTCACCTATAAACATTAATCTTGGAATCTGGACCACAGTTAAGATTGGCTTTCTACTCCTCAAAATATTGCTTAGCTCTTCTGTAGCCTCAAGGATTTTCCTCAGTCTGGCTTACTTAGCATACGATTGATTCTGTCTGCATTTTTAATGACTTGAAAATACTGTATCTTTCTTTCAGAAAATTATTGGTCCTTGTTACCAGGTCCGTTTTTAGAGCAAATAGTTCAAATGTTGAAGACGTATGTGTCAGCCATGTTGCCTTCTTATAACCTTTTTCCCAAAGACAAGACATGGATTGATATCCTCAAAGTGCTTAAAAAGCTGTATAAGGTATGTCTGGTGACTTGGAAGTGATTGTGGAGAGTTTGTACTACTTCTTGATATAAAATCCATGGCTTTTATCTATAAATAATTTTCTTCAAGGTCAACATGAAGGCTAAATGCCCACTGCAAATAAGTACCTTCTGCATAGATGAAATTCCTCAAAAAATTGACCTAGAAGATGATTTTTGGGAATGGGAGTTACATAAAGACAATGTAAGTATCATTTTACATGGTCTCTTGGCCTTGTGTAGAAGGAAGGTATTAGAGCTCATGAAGCTTGGACAGAGGTGAAATGTCTTTGCTTATATATATAGTAACTGGAATATATTCTTGCTTTATTCACCATTTCTCCTCAGTTGAAAGTATTTTGGTCAAAAAACTTGGGTTAAAACATCGCACTAATCCATAATGTGGTTTGGTTTTTGCTTACCGTGTTGGAACAGAATAGAGTAATAGAATTGGAAGGGACCTTGGAGGATTTAAAGTCCAGCCCCCTGCCCAAGCAGGGAACCCTTACACCATTTCAGTCAAATGGCTATCCAATCTCTTCTTAAAATTGCCAGTGTTGGAGCATTCACAACTTCTGGAGGCAAGTTGTTCCGCTGATTAATTGTTCTCACTGTCAGGAAATTTCTCCTTATTTCTAGTTGGTTCTCTCCTTGATTAGTTTCTACCCATTGTTTCTTGTCCTGCCTTCAGGTGCTTTGGAGAATGGCTTGACTCCCTCTTTTTTTGTGGCAGGCCCTCAAGAATTGAACGCTGCTATCATGTCACCCTTGGTCCTTCTGTTCACTAGACTAGGTACACCCAGTTCCTCCAACCATTCTTCATACGTTTTAATCTCCAGTCCATCTTCATTGCTCTTCTCTGCTCTCTTGCTAGAATCTCAACATCTTTATTTTTTAATATCATGGCAATCAAAACCGGATACAACACTCTAAGTGTGGTTTTAGCAAGGTGTTATAAAGTGGTACAAACAATTCATGCTTAGTAGACCTTGGATTGCGGTTTGTAAACTAGCAAATTCTTCAAACTAAGTTACTTTTAATCTGTTCAGTGTACTGCTACATAGCACACTGAGAACTTTCTTACCTTAGGGTTGACTTGAAAATCTGAGAACCGTGTGAGCAAGTACTTATAAAATGGCAGTGAGTTTGAGCAAGATAGTGCATAGAATAATTATCTAATGCATTTTATGAGAACAACATTTCATTGAACACAAATGGTATTATTAAATATCAATGTTTAAACCCCTTTTCCAAGACACTTTTAGATTGTTTCCCTGCAGTTCCCAATCCTATAATTTGCCTAAAGACACGCTTCCTATTTTTGCTAGATTTCTGGCTCATTTCACATGTAAACCAATGGATACACAACTGTATGCATGAAGGTTTTTTCTTGTGGAGTGTGGAGAAATTCTTTCTTTGCAAGAAGCTGTGGTTATTTCATGGCAAGGCTAGGATTGGTGTCAGAGCATGTGGCTTAATAAAGTGCTATAGTGTGTACAGTCCAGTTGTCAGCTTTCCCCCTACAGGCTGAACTAGAACCACTTAGAAAAATTAACAGGAAATTCAAGAGCTACAAATAAGTATTATTTCATGAGTTTCAAGAGAAAGCTCTCTACGAAGAAAACAGTATCAAACCTTCTTGTGTATCTTCCTTCTTCCCATCCTATCTAAGCAATTACTTGGCACTCTCTTTTGAGCAGTCTAGCCTGGCTCCATCTGTTTTTAGATTTCGCGTTGATTGGATCTGCTGTTGTGTTTTTATTGCAGTGTGAAAACTCGCAGATTTATTTTTTTAATGCTTGAACAGGGCTTTTCTCTGAGTACAGGTAATCATGAGCACAATTGAGCCCAAAGTTTCTGTTGTTAAGTGAGATATGTGTTAAGTGTGTTTTGCCCCTTTTCATCACATTTCATGCCAATTGTTAAAGGAATCACTGCAGTTAGTACCATGGTTGTTAAGTGAATCTGGCTTCCCCATTGATTTTGCTTATCAAAAGGTCGCAAAAGACGATCACATGACCTTGGGACACAGCAACAGTCATAACTATGAACCAATTGCCAGGTATCTGAATGTTGAACACACAGTCATGGGGCTGCTACAAAGGTCGTGAAAAATGGTCACAAGTCTCTTTTTCAGTGTTGTTGTAGCTTTGAACACTCACTGAATGAACTGTTGTAAGTCGAGGACTATCTATATCTGACATATTAGCCTGCCTAGGAGGTGAAATGGATGTTTTGCTGTGGAATTGTGAAAAGTTCTAAATTAGGGAATTGGGGAATGTGTGGTTTCTTCCTTCATAGAAATTATCTAATTGTGCCCAAGCATAAACATTTGCTTTGAGAGAGATGGTTCATTGTTTTTATTTTTGAGGCGAATTGGAAAACATTTGAATTCCACATTGAGTAGTTTAGCTGTTGCATAAGTTCTTACCAGAAAAGAACACACACACACACACAAAAGCATATTGATGCAGGTTGGGAAGCAAAGGGAGTTGGGAAGCGAAGAAGGTTTTATGAGATATTCTTTTGTTTCAAAAGATTTCTATTTTTTTCCCCTTGCAACATGCAGAATATGAAGACAGATTAATCTCTTTCTGCCATTTTCCTTTTGTCTACAATGTATCAACCAAAAGGAAAATACTTTATTATGGGTCCTCTGCTGTACAAGAGGTAAATAATCTTTAAATATATATATATGTGTGTATGTGATGTGATGTGATGTGAGCTTGCAGCTGCTTCTTCCTTTTAACTGCTAGTGGGGGTGTGACTTGATTGGGTGGGGGCTTGGCTGTGTCCTGATTGGGTGGGGGTGTGTTCTCATTGGTTGGGGGTTTGGCTGTGTTCTCATTGGTTGGGGGGTTGGCCGTGTTCTGATTGCTGGAGGTGTGTTCTAACTAGCAGTTAAAAGGAAGAAGCAGCTGCAAGCTCACATCACTCTGAGAAGCACAGAGCTGAAGACACAAGCCTGAAGATGATGAATGAGACTTCATCGAAACGTTGCCTAGATACTTCCAATCTTATGCGTGAGAAAACCCGGATTCCCCAACCATCCGTGCTGGCTATGGAATCCTGGGAATTGAGGTCCACACCTCTTAAAGTTGCCAAGGATTGACATTGGTCATTGAGCCCCTTTGTATCTTATGGATGAGGCCACCAAATTATTTGTTTATGTTTTCAGCATTCAAAATATGATATAGAATAACCTCCCCTCCCCCAGTAATCAGCAGTAATACGACCACAACTGAGCCCAAAATCTCTGTTGCTAAGTGAGACATTTGTTTAAGGACGTTTTGCCCCATTTTGACTTTTTCTTGCCACAATAGTTAAGTGAATCACTACAATTGTTAAGGGAATCACTGCAGTTGTTTAGTAACAAGGTTGTTCAGTGAATCTGGCTTCGTCATTGACTTTGCTTGTCAGAAGGTTGTAAAAGGTGATCACGTGACCCCTGGACATTGCAACCATCATCAATATGAGTCAATTGCCAGGCATCTGAATTTTGATCACGTGGCCATGGAGATGCTGTGATGCCAGAGGTGGTATTCAGCAGGTTCTGACCAGTTCTGGAGAACCGGTAGAGGAAATTTTGAGTAGTTCGGAGAACCGGCAAATACTGCCTCTGACTGGAGATTTTACAATATCCTTCCCCTGCCACGCCCACAGAATCAGTAGTACAAAAATTTGTATCCTGCCACTGTGTGATGGTCATAAGTGAGGAAAATGGTCACAAGTCACTTTTTCAGTGCCATTATAATTTTGAACAGTCACTAAATGAACTAGTGTTAAGTCGAGGATTACCTAACAACAGAAAGAAGCAAGCAAATAATGAATAATGCAGCAGCCTCCATGCAACCATTTTTCCTGCAGCTTTTCCTACAGTACTTTGGCCTCAGAAGCAGCTGTACATGGTACAATGTGTCTTGGACACTGGATGCAATGTAAAGATGGCTTGAATAAAATAAAGTTTCTTTTAAGGGCTCGATTTGGTTACCATTTAAGGAAGCTCCAAACCATATTTATTTTAGTTCATTCCCTACCATCTTTCCCTGTTAGCACTTTGAGAATGGAGATTTAAGTAAATGTCCCAAAGGTGCTTTTTTTCAAGAAGCAACTGGACTTCCTTGTTTTTCCTTTGAAGACGTTTTGCTTCTCATCCAAGAAGCTTCTTCAGCTCTGACTGGATGGTGGGAAACAGAAGGATTTGTTCTCCTTGCAGACAGCTGGTCATTTGTATCCTTTTTGTGAGTTGTTGAAGCCTGCAGCTCAAACTGAAGTGCAAATGGTTCCTGTTGTCTACAATTTATTCTGCAAATCCGTTCATACCCCTGCACCATTCAAAGGGTGTTCATCCCAAAGTGCATAGCTAAATGCCTATAGAGATTCTCAGTCATCCAGCTCATGGTTCTCCCAAAAGTGCTTTTTTCAAGAGGCAGCTGGGTTTTCTGTCAGAGCTGAAGAAGCTTCTTGGATGAGAAGCGAAATGTCTTCAAAAGAAAAACCAAAAAGCCCAGTTGCCTCTTGGGGAAAAAAGCACCTTTGGGAGAACCATGAGCTGGATGACTGAGAATCTCTATAGGCATTTAAGGAAATGGTTGACTGCTATTGGATTATTTGGGGACAAAATACTTCAATATAAACACCATAATCAGAATTGCCTTAAAAGAAGGTTTCCTTTGATTTGCTTACATTTCTTCTATGATTAAAATGTGAAAATTGTTTATTGGTTTTTATCTCTTTCCCCCCTGGACTTCTCCAGTTACTAAAAATAAAAGCTTGTTGTGAATTGGTCAACTGTTGGAGGCTGGGAAATAGTGACACTCCAGAACCCCCTGTGTTTATTCTGAAAGTGCGACGCCACTTTCTCCTTGAAGACACCTGGCACAAACTTAGTATATTGGAGGACTCCTACCTGAAAATGCACCTGCTGGTGAGCTATCTGTGGTCTGCTGATGCTGAGTTATCTGAGCTTTGAACCCGAGAACTCACTGGCATACCCTTCAAAATTAGGACTGCATTTTAAAAACTCTTATCTATTAAAAGTGTTTGTTTTACTCAGTATTTATTTATATCACAATTATACAGATAGTCCTCGACTTGCAATAACAACTGAACCTACAATTTCTGTTGCTAAATTGTTAAGTAACTTTTGTCTCATTTTATGACTTTTCTTGCTCCAGTTATAATTGTTAAGTTAGTAATAGTTATTAAGTGAATCTGGCTTCTCCCTTGGCTTGTCAGGAGATCGCAAAAAGGGGATCACATGACCCCCCCCCCCCAGGACACTGCGACCCTCATAAATGAAGGCCAGTTGCCAAGCAACTGAATTTTGATCACGTAACCATGGGGATGCTGCAATGGTCATAAATGTAGAAAATGGTCATTTTGAATGGTCATTTAATGGATGGTTGTAAGTCAAGGACTACCTGTATTTTGCCTTAATTCTAAGAAACTAGACACAATTTACAGGTTGAAGGTCAGCTCTAATTTTTCTGCACCTACCGTGTTTCTCCAACAATGCGGCCTCCACCAATAGGAAGGCCCAGCATGTTTTATTGGCACAAAATCAAATTAAGCCCCTCCCCCCAAATTAAGGCCTATATTAAACATGTGAAATGGGGGGAATGGCGGGGGGGGGGCTTGCCATTAGGAAGTACTTTTATTGCATACCCGGATATGGTGCTGCCTGCGTTGGTGGGGCACTTCGTATCGGGAGACCTTCCGCCACCATTGCTTTCCCTTCTACCTTGCTGCCGCAGTGTTTAGAGCAATGCCGCGGCGTTTGGTGCAGCCATGCGTAGCCAGCCAGGGCTCCTCCCTGCAACCGGAGCCCGGCGGAGACACTTGGCTTCAGTCGCTCCTGTCGCCGCCTTCCCTTTGCCTTCGAAGGTAAAGCCAATTATTTTAAAAACGACGCCCTAGTACAACAAAACCTCCCCTGCCCGAGAGGGCAGCTCAACCCCATGTGGGGAGGCGAATCTCCCGGGGCTGCAGCGCAGGATTGGCCCACCCCGGGAGAAGCTCCCAGCTGCCATCCCTGCCTGGCACCAGGCAGAGCGCGAAGAGCTTCGCCTGGGGCGCCCAGCACAGCTGACAGGCGGGCCCTACTTCCCGGCAGCAGAGCTCTCACCAAGGCAGCGAGCGCCTCCCCGCCAGGCCCTCCGCTCATCCCACCAGGACCGCGCCGGAGCTGTGTGGGCTGGGCAGAGCTGGGAAAGCGAGCTGCGGTTGCGCGCCCACCTGCCAAGCGAAAGAGCCGGGCCGACCCAAGCTTGGCTTCCTTCCCAAGTCCCTCCAGCTCGAACCCAAAGGGGCCACCGGGAGAGGCTGCCCGAGGCAGTGATAGCGCCCACCCATTCGCGGACAGGGAGGCAAGGCGACGGCCTGTGCCGTGTCCTCCGAGCTGAGCCCCACCCTGTCAGCGCCTCTGCCTGATGCCTGTTCTGCTGCAGCATTTGGAGCTGCTGGCGCATTTGGAGATGCGTGGGGACGTGCTGGGCAAGGGGTGGAAAGGACGGGCGGCTTCGGGCTCTCTCCAACGGCCAGGGAAGCAGCGCTGCCATCACCTCGCCTCCCTGTCCGCAGATGGGTAGGCGCTATCACTGCCTCGGGCAGCCTCTCCCGGTGGCCCCTTCGGGTTCGTGTGGAAGGGACTTCGGAAGGAAGCCAAGCTCAGGTCGGCCCGACTCTTTTGCTTGGCAGACGAGCGCGCACCCGCGGCTCGCTTTCCTGGCTTTGCCCAACCCGCGCAGCTCTGGAGCGGCCCTGGCGGGATGAGCGGAGGGTCCGGCGGGGAGGCGCTCGCTGCCTTGGTGAGAGCTCTGCTGCCAGGAAGGAGGGCCCGCCTGTCAGCTGCACTGGGCGCCCCAGGCGAAGCTCTTTGCGCTCTGCCCGGAGCCAGGCAGGGATGGTGGCTGGGCGCTTCTCCCAAGGTGGGCCGATCCTGTGCTGCGGCCCGGGGAGATTTGCCTCCCCACATGGGGTTGGGCTGCCCTCTCGGGCAGGGGAGGCTTTGTTGTAGTAGGGCGTCGTTTTTAAAATAATTGGCTTTACCTTCGAAGGCAAAGGGAAGGCGGCGACAGGAGCGCCTGAAGCCGAGTGTCTCTGCCAGGCTCCGGTTGCAGGGAGGAGCCCTGGCTGGCTGCACATGGCTGCACCAAACACCGCGGCGTTGGTCTAAATGCCATGGCAGCAAGGGAGAAGGGAAAGCAACGGTGACTGAAGGTGTCCCAATACGAAGTGCCTCACCAATGCCGAGGTCAACATCCAAGCTGTTGCCACCTGCCCACCCGAGGATGCAAGGGGGGGAATTAAGTCACCCCCGAAAAGACGGCCTAGCCGTTTTTTCGGGGGTCAAAAAAAAAAATAAGGCCCAGCCTTATTTTGTGAGAAACACCGTAACAGCGGTGGAATAGCTTGGCTAAGTGGTGGGTCCAAAATCAGCCAATGAGTTCAAAGAATATGAAATCCTTTTGACCTGCAAATTCAGAGCTTTTTTGCTATTTACGAAAGGAATTCAACATTTTTCAGCTTTCTTTCTCTGAAGAAGGATGTTTGCGTTTCAATTTTTTGAACTACTTTTCCTTCTTTACTTGTTTTGGCAGGTTCAATTTGAAAATGAAATGCCTGATTATGGAGATCTAGGTTACCTGGTGGAATTCTTTTCAGAGGTGTTTGAGAAGGTGGTGCAGCCAGAATATGGGATGTTTATGTATTGTGAATCCACTTCCCCAATGTGGTTTCCTCCCAAGGTAAGTTTATCAGACCCAGTTCCAGTTCAAATGAACTCAATTCATCAAGATGATACCTATCAACTCTGCCCCCATCAACCCAAGATGGGATATTGGATCTTAATTTGGTGGGGGGGGATATGTGCAAGTTTGATTTGTGAAGTTCTACACCTGGTCTTTTGTTCATTGAAAAAATAATCTGGGAAACGTCAAATACTTTTGCAATCCCAATACTCTTGACCTCCCAAAGTGTGGGAAAGATGCTTTAGGGATTATAAAACTTAAGCTGAGTGAAAGGAAGTATTTAGCCACTCTGCAATTTGCACATTGATAGAGAGCACTAGTTTGAAAGTAAGTTTTCTCATGATGTGATCATGAGAAAATGAGTATTGATGTGATCATGAGATCATGAGTATTAGGTGGCCTAATACTACTCTTCATTTTACTAGGCTGTTTATCCCAATGTAGAAACATGTCCTTTTAAATACTGTAAATGTAATCTGTATTTCTTCTCATTGTTGTGGTGATGTTTTCTTGCTGTTTCGTTCTTGCAGCCTTCTGTGGAGAAGAATAAATATTTCCTGTTTGGTATTCTCTATGGGCTTTCAATGGCTAACGGAGTCACTGCCTACATACCCTTCCCACTTGCTGTCTTTAAAAAGCTGCTTAACAAGAAGCCAACTCTCAGTGATGTGAAAGAGCTAAGCCCTGTGCTAGGAAGGTAAACGTTCTATCCACTTACTAGGGACACTGGGTCTTAACTGATTTTATCCAGTCATTGCACTCCCCCTACAACTTACAAAACCATGTTTCTGTTTCAAAGAATGTACCAAAAGTAATGGAATCCTAACATTTGAATGTGGGTTAAGATGACTTAGCCAAGGTGTAGAGATCAGCAAATCATTTGTCGTTTCTCCCCTCATCCCTTCTGCAGTAGGCAGCTTCTCTTGATTTGAGTTGTCATAATGGAATAACCTAGATTAGAACTCGTGGCATCATGTTGCTGTCACATGACGTTTCGTGGTGTTTTTCCCTTCGCGGAAATGGGATGGGCATGGCCTGCACTTAAAGCATCCAGCCCGCAGGCCCCCAGTTTGACACCCCTGGAGTAGAAGATCCCCAGTTACATAGCTGTAATGGCTGACAGAGAAAGTGTTCTCTACGCATAACAAAAGGCAAGAAGTCCATCTTCTAGTCTAGGTGAAGGGAAAGATTGAGATCTATCTGCTTTTTTCTCTTTATGGGGCCTCCTTAGACTCCCATCTCTCTATTAGTATGGAAGTAATTCATTAAATGTCCTTCAAAAGAACCAGCTTTTTACTCTCTGCAAGCAGAGATTTTTTCCCAATTTTTCTGCAGAAGCAAGGATAATAAGCCACAGGTTTATGACAAACGTATTTATTCTAAAACAAGTCTACAAATACAGTAGCCACCACACACTTCTTCTGAACTGTCTAGGACGGGGGGGTCAAGCCCAATTTCATTGAGGGCCGCATCAGGGTTGTGATTGACCTTGGGGGGAAGGGGAGGGGGCATGGCCAGGCTGGGCGTGGCCAGCTTGACATCACTTGTGTTAGGGGGTGCCTGTGGTGGCCCGAGCGCGGCCCTCCTGAGCTCCGTTATCACTGGCAGAGGCACCGTGGGTCGTCCTTTGCTATTTCCAGGGCAGCCACGTGGGCCAGACCTAAGCACCCCCCGGGCCTTGAGTTTGACACCTCTGGTCTCGGAGAAGGAATGTTCTCTTTTGCCCAATGTAGCTGGTGTCTCAGCCTAGTTTAGTAAATCCCAGTACGACCCAAATCCCAATAGAAGCATGTCCCCTTTAAAATTGGATACACCATTTGGCCTGGGAAGAGAGCTTAGTTTTTAAAACTAGCTTACTTTTTAAAATGATCTGGATGCAAAGGTTTTTCTGGAACAGTCATACAAATATCTTCTCAGTATCTTCTCACCAAATACTTGACTATCTGGATCAAGCCAACCTAGCTCCATTCTAGCTCCATCACTAGATACGATGACTCAAAAGAGACAAGCTTGAGTCTATTCATGGTTGCATGGACCAGTCTGGAGATCTTGTTCATGTCCTCAGGCTTATAAAAATATGAAACCACTCCAGCCATGTATTTTTGATTGGCACTGTTTTAATATCTGCTGAAAGAACTAAATATAATATTTTATTTTCTATTTCCTTTTGTTATCAAGAAATTTGCAGACAGTTCTTGAGTATGAACATGATGACCTTGAAGACATGTTTCAGCTATGTTACTCTGTGAGTATCCTGCATTCTTTCACGATGCCTCCTCAAATGCTTAAAAACCTGGAGTAGAGGCTAAAAATGGAAGAAATCCACAGCTTGTAAAATCAATTAAAAGGTGGAAACGTTTATCTTGTTGTGGCTGAACAAATAAGCTGGAATAAATAGGAGGAGGATGCTAGAGACATCATTCTGAATCTTGTGTTGAGAAGAAGAGGGTCTTCCGGGGTGTGGTCAGAAATGTCAAGATGGCATCAATGATAGTTTAGTGATGTGGTGGCCTAGAGGTGGAGCTCTTGCCTCACAATCAGGAGGCTGTGAGTTCGATCCTAGGTAGAGGCAGATATTTCTCTCTCTGGGCACAATGAGAATATATCTGCTGAACAAAACTCCCCATTGGCGACAGGAAGGGCATCCGGCCAGTAAACACCCAGCTCCATTCAGTTGCCCAGACTCCATCCCACAAGGGATTATGAGGTCATTAAAAGAAAATGGTGATCAATGATGGTTTAGTCCAAGCCCAGCTTGGGTTTTTTAAAATGTATTTTAATGGGGTTTTTTTTCAACTTTTTTTTTAACCACATCCTGCAGACACACTTGGGCCCTCCAGAGAAGAATCACTAAAGGCTGAAATCTCATTCACACATTAAGTCATAAGATGATTTGTTTATAGTTGATATGCTATGTGAATGGAATCCATTTGAATGTGGGTTAAGATGACTTTATGGTTCACAACCTTGGTATACAGTTTGATTGTTGTCTGAGTCTCCTTAGTTATTCGGTAAAACACAGTTATGGGAAACCATGGCTTCGGACCATGTGTGAACCAGCCAAAGCATTATTCATACTGCTTCATTGGCTGAAACTACTGATGCCAACTATTCCACATAAATAGAAAGTTTTGACACTGTTCAGTGCGGAAATTATACTAATACATTGACTTTAGCTTTAACAGTTTTACTTAACACGCAACAACTTTATTTTTCAGATTTCCTGGGACAGCATGGATGTAGACTTGATTGAAAATGGCATTTCGACAGCTGTAAACAATGCCAATAAGTATGTGTCAATGACTCTTAAAATGACCTCTCCAAAGGTGCTTTGTTAGAGCTCAGATGATCCCCACCCACAATGACCAATGATGTTAGAAGTAATGGGGGATGATATTAATGCACCATGTAGGAATCGGATAATTTCTTAAACTTTCAGTTACTGCTATCCCCAAACTTCTTGAATTTCTGTGGGATTGTTAAAAATTTCTTTAGATCTAAACTACAGGTAGTTTATTAGTTATGATCACTCACTCACTCACAACAGTTCAAAATTTCCAATTGTTTTGGACAAGAGGAACTTCTGACACAAAGTTGTGGCTTTGTATCCCTGTGGTCATGTGACCGTGATCCTTTTGGTACAAAGACCTCCAGTCTCAACTAATTCTTGTAAATATCAATAATAATAATAATAATAATAATAATAATAATAATAATAATAATAA